TACTTTATATGCATGACCCCAACACATAATTGCCTAGTCCTGTGTACGTTTTATTATAGTAGCCTTTATTATAGGACAGTATAGCCATGCATTAGCAACATTAGGGTTCTGGCCTTAGCTGCAGTCTGCATCTCATTTAAATAAAATCTGAAAATATGTGCCTTTATGCTTCAACACAAGGATTGTCACTATCCATACAAGCTTGGTGCCGTGGATTCTTGGAGCTAATGTGCAGGCAAATAAAATACAAATAGAAAAAAGCTAACGGAACAACATGCAAATTATTCTGTTACATCTGTTGTAGGATTTTCGCCAACATCAGCAGTTGCTGCTGGAGATCTGAACCATAACACACAATCAGAACGTTGTAACGTAACCATCATTATGTCAAAATCACCAATTATAAGATGTTTTTAGAAATGTAAGTTTAACTTTAGCTTCCTTCCAAAATGCTTTAACCAAAGGTTCATGATTATTGGGATCCTTTCAGAATAAAAGCTACTAATAGAAATATTTTCCTCCAGCTTTCAGGTTTGGGTGATGGGTGGCCAGTGGTGCTCCCAGAAAAATTTCACAATGAGGGCCAATGAAAAATTTGGGGTGGCCTGTAGCCGTGCGTTGAATTGCTCTTTCATTTAAAAATAATATATTTTACTGGAAATTTGAGAAACACAAACATTTCAGAAAAAAGACAGAAGCTGAAATTTTTTGGTCAGGTATTGTTTCAAATTTTATTGTTTTAGGATTTTAAAACAGCTTAACTTGTCTTTTGCTGTCTCAGCAAAAATATCCACAAAAGCTATTGGGAATTGTGCTTTTCTTAGAAAATGGTAAGCCTCAGTTATGTACAATACACTAAATGTATTTATTGGCTTTTACATTTAGGGTTTGATTAAATTTTACATAAACAAGCGCGTGTACACACACAGGTGCTCACATGGTGCTCTCATAAGTATGGGCTTGGGCACGTTCAACATGTCTTAAGGCTGTGGTTGGCACTTAGTGCACTGTGATTTATTATTGTGATTGTTCAGTAAAACAATGTTGATTTTATATTTCCTCATCAGGTTGACACATTGATAGCTTGCTCCTGTTGTATTGTTGTGTGTCCCTTTTCTTTTTTTTTCTTCTTTCCTTCTGCAGGTCTAGAAGCAAACTCTTGTTCATCGATCGTTTGTTCTTGTGGACCCCCCCCCCCCCCCCCCCCCCCTTCCTTTTGTCTCTTCCTTTCTCTTTCACCTCTGTCTCCGTGTCTGGTTGGAATTACAAGCATTCAAAAAACAATAACAATAAAGTTTTAAGTATCAGGCGTGACATTAAAAGCAGATGCTTTGATGCTCCACCTGAGAGTAAATCTGTAAGGCTTGTCACCAGCATTCAGACATCAATTCTGTTTGCTTCACAGCCAGACAGGACACTGTTAGAAAAAAAAAGAATGACAACTGTATGGTTTGTGTGAAGATGACTGTGTTTTATTAAAGGGGTGAAAGGGTGGTCTACCCTGGGGGCCAAATATTTTCAAATTCCACATTTTGTGGGGCACCACTGTGGGTGGCTGCCATCTAACAAGACATTCCTTCACCAGGATCCCACTCTGTTTCTCCCTCTAGAGAAATCTTATCTGGTTCACACTTCTCTTGAGTCTTCGTTGTATTTCAGAGCTTTATAATCATCGTTTCCTGCACTATTCCTAGACTGTGTCAGCACTTTTTCTTTGTCGGTGGACATAAAACCTGTTTTTCTGATTAGAGTGGTTGAAAAGCTTCCCAAAACTCTTAGAAGTTGTATTGTTCGACACACCCAAACATGGAATTTGGCTCATGCCTGAACTCAGGGTGTCTGCTCCATGAGAAACCTGCAACAACAAAAGCGTCCAAATTCAGAACCAAACTAAAGAAAAAAGTTTCATTTTTTCTTGTAATAATCCAACAGAAAGTGTGCGAACGCTTGCTTTATTCAGCCAAACAAATACATTTATTTTCATAAAATACAAAGCTTTCTCCATGTGTTTTTGTTCTTCTTTGTAATAATATGCTAATTCCAGATAGTCAGATATGCTCTTTCTAGGAACGTTTTCTTTACATTTGAATATTAGCATAATCAAACGTGTGACACAATGCTAGCATGTGAACATATTTGGCTTTTCTGTAAATGAGGAAATAGTGACTGATTACCAAAGGGCAGATGTGTGTGTTTTTAGAAAATTCTCAAAGATAAATGCATGTTTCTGCTGTTTTTGTGATTATAAAAGTCCATAAAGTCCTTGCTGGAAGAGAAATGTATTAATGATGCATTATTAAACAATGTTTCTAGAAATATAAAACATTATTTGAATGATTTGTAAAGATGGATTTGTTTAATTGGTACAATTTAAAAACGACTAAATACATGAGTTATTAAAAACTGAAAATCAGTCATTTTTTATGGATTTTGTTGATTTGACATTAATTATTTATAAAGTAATTAAACACTGAACAGAAAATGACAGTAGAATTGAGTCTGAATCCTACTTTGCTCACTAGGTGAAAATCAAACGCTGACCATAATTTGGTTAACCTATCAGCAAAATGTGTGTTTTGTGTGTGTGCATATGTGTGTGCGTTTGTGTGTGCATGCTCTCCAGGTTCACCACACATTCCCCTCTCTCTCTTTTTAGTGTCAATGTTAGGTTGCTAATCTGGCAGAACTCAGAGGGAAAAGCCTTTTCTGATGCCTCAATAGATTTCACTCAGCCAAGAGGAAAGAGGACAGACCTACAGTTGAAAGACAAACACACACACACACACACACACACACACACACACACACACACACACACACACACACACACACACACACACACACACACACACACACACACACAGACACAATTCCCAACAACACCATAGTTTTTGACACAAGCATCAAGTGCGAGGGAAATTTATAAAAACAATTTATAAAATCCACGTTCTAGTGAATTTAAATGGACTGTGATTGCGTAGTATTTCTCCATAGCGCTAAAACTAAGACGTTTATTGGGCCATTTCTGTTCTGCAAGACAGCATATTTCATTCCCCTGACAACAAATGCACTTCTTAGTGCTGATTAACTAATTTATTCATTACTGACATGAACATTCTCTACATTTTTTGGCCTCTTTGTAGCTCATTATTATAATTATTCTGTCTACATATATGCATTTATGAATTTTTTAAATCAAAAGTTAAAAACTAAAAAAACATTCTGTTTCTTTTTGTTTTGTTGTCAGTCAACAAGATCTAATGCTATTTGTTGTGTTTTATTTGCTAAATGCTGCATTAGATTTGATTTAACAAGACACCCACTTTTCCTTCACAAAATCAAGTCATCTCAGCGTTTTATATACTATTGACCCCCCTCTCCCGCTGTCTCAGCAACCCTACACCCATTCAACTCCATTCATGCTCCCTCAAACACCCCTCACTTCCTGCCTCCAAGTTATTAAATGGGACTATCAAGTAGCACTAAAAGCGGATGTTAAATAAATTAGACTTCAAAATAAAACACACTTATTTAAACTAAAAAAAATGCTTGCGATGGTACAAAGTCTGCATGGTGTGATTAGTTGGCAGAGTGGCCTTGCTGCCACAAGGTCTTGGATTCGACTCTAGACTGGGATCTTATACTGTGATATTATATTGATTTTCAAAAGCTGTGTATCAAATTTTTGGAAGAATTTACATGCAAACATATTTGTGTTTTCTTGTCATTTGGTGCAATTCAAAATCCGACCACTGCAGCAGTGTGCAATGGGTTCTGTTTCCACCATTGAACTGTAAATCCCTCTATTATGGTTCAGCTATCTCATGTTTAACATGTCACGTCTCAGTTTGGATTGTTTCTTGAATTTTCCTACAACAATTTCAGTCTAAAAATATCTCTAATATGGGCTGGCTGAATGTATTGCAATATATTGTGAAAATATTGTGACATCAAAGGAAATAAGTCACTGGAGAGAGACACTTTATTGCACACCTCAAGTGTTAAAGACGGATCGACAATGAGGAGCCATTTATTAACAACTCTTGCAACCACATGCTTTTTCTATTAACAATCTAATGTCAGGCAGGTAATTCTTATGCACCCCCTTCTCTATCATGGTGATGAACAAATACCACTAAACATTGAAACCAACAGAACTTGAAGGATAATTAAAGAGCAGGTATCCACTGAAACACAAAAATATAACGTCAAACAATAAGATAACACTGAAGAATTCTATAACTAACACTTAAGGCCCATTACCCATAAGTCTTTGCGGCACCCCTGAGCAGGCTGCTTGACTCTGCTACACCACAATATTGTATCGCCATAATTTCACCAATACACATCCCTAATTTATAGTGCTTTCCGGTGTCCTACAACCCCCCAAGGTGCTTTACAATGCAACAATCACCCATTAATACACACATTCACACACTGGTGACGATAAGCTATAGCTAGCTGCCCTGGGATACTTTGTCAGAGGTGAGGCTACCATACACATGTGCCACCAGTTTCTCCGACCACCACCTGCAAGCAAGGCGGGTGAAGTGTCTTGCCCAAGGACACAACAGCTGTGATAGACTGAGTGAATGTGGCTAAATCTAAAATTTGCTATCAATACATTGCTGTCTTCAAAAAACAAATTTGAGACACTGTTATTATTGGATATGCATGAAGACATGAAATTTTGCATGTGCTGAATATAATTTTTTTTAGGTAAATAGCCCATAAATGAAACAGAATTTCTGCCCATCCATCCATTTTCTTCGGGTTGAGTTGGGTTGCAGCAGCGGCATCCAAAGCCGAGAGGCCCAGACTTTCTAGAAATAGAAATAGAAGTTATCTAACAAAAATATGACTAGATTATGAATTTTTCGTTTAACAGAAACACTTTTCTATTACTGACGATGTGAACGTTCATAAAATTGACGAACCAAATGTGCCTTATTTTGAAAGTTCAAACCGGAAGCACTGCTGTCTTTTCCGTTGCTAGCTTGATGTGTTGGAGGCAGAATGACAGCTGAGCTGCGGGTTGTACGGTACAGCAGAGTGCGGTCCATAGCGCCGTCAACACTCTTTCACGCACTTTAAACAGAACAGCTGACACTTTTATACCGAGTGGCACCTTTTTTCTGCCACCCCGCCGCCGTGTCAGAGTTAAACTAAGGACGCTACCTGGTCGAGGTTGAGGATTTTTACAAAACTGCTTTATCAAGAAAGAAAAAGACCCGTGTCCGGATGTTGTAGCAGTATTGGCTTTTTTCCTCGCATGGCGTAGACACCTTTTTTCTGAAGCGGGGTATTGTTGATGTTTGACTGGTTGAAGAAGGCCCTCGGGTCGGCATTAACTTGTAAAATCACTACGTGTTCGCGTGAGGAATATTCGACGAAATGATTGTGCAATAACAAAGGAAGAGGCACAATTAAACCGTCTAGGCTGCCTCGCTCGGTGTTCTGACTGAAACGAGTCACCGGGAGGGAGTACATTGTGTCTGTCCTGCTCTAAACCCAACGAAGAGCGTCCTTTTTCATTTTTGTTTATTAGTGAGTTTGTTGGAGGTTTTACGAGGCCAAGGAAAAGAGGAAACGTTTATCTTCTTGTGTGAGGGTGTTTATGTTCGCGTGAATCCTTCAGAGGACCGGGAAAACCTTCAAGATGCCTGGCAGCATCCCTGTAGACATGGTGAGATCTGTTGCACACACACACACGCACACACACACACACACACACACACACACACACACACACACACACACACACACACACACACACACACACACACACACACACACACACACACACACTTTAAGGAATGAGTTAGATTTAATAATCAAGTTGGATGTGGTTGAGTTGTAAGCAGCTTTTTGCTGAATCTTATCAACATAGTTAATAGGTAGTTAACATACTACTTGCAATTTTTATCTAATTGTGCTAAGAAACTATTGAAATGGATTTTTTTTCTCTTACATTTAGCCATTGTGGTACAATGATTAACGTCCATTAGGTTGAAAATTTAATTTCTTTATTGAGTTTAATTCAAACAAAAATCTAAATTATGAAGTTAATTTACGTTTTTAGGTTTATAACATAAAACATTCAAATTATTTATGTGTGTTTATAATATTAGTTTTTATTGCTTTTTTGTAACTTGCACTATGATCGATTATATTTCCCACAATATTTATATGCTAAGGAGTAATTGAGAAAAATATTTTGAGGCAATACTCAATCAGATTTCAAATGAGATTTGAAAACAGCTAGTGGGTTGTATGGCAAAAATATCTTTGCAATTGTTTTTTAACTGACTTTAATTATTTACTTTTGTTTTTAATCTCAGAATAAACAAAAATTTGTAAACTACCTGACAGTGCAGCCTAAATCTCCTCTGTTAAATAACGAATGCCTCGAAAGACTAAAAGCTGACAAATAACTACAATAGCAAAATATTGTTGTAAACGATTAGTAAGTGCATTGTAGAAAACATAAAAACTTTGAAATAATTTTGAAATGTGGTCGCAATGTCGCTCTTTATGGCCAAGCATCACCATCCTGTCTTCATTTTCCAGGATATTGTTTCAGGAGTTGTTTATTGCAGCTTTACAAGCTTTTAACCCATCTCCTCTCCAAATAATCCCTCCATTATTCCGATTATTTTCTGTTCAGATTGCCAGTGATGGCTGTTTAATTGTTGCTGATGTTTTTACAAACTTCACTAGGTTTATTAACATGTTTGTTTATGTGAGGTTAGATTTATTAAGTTCTTAGGGCCGAAATATAGTTGCTGTTGAACATCGTGTTGGCGCAGGCAGCAGTCTACTTCTTTGATGCTGCATGGTACCCTAGTGAACTAGTTCAAATCATTGCTTTATAAAGTTTGGTCTAGGAATGCTCCATTTGAACCTCTGCAGCCCCTAGCAGCATTCTGGCTGGCCAATCACAGCTCTATATGGATCTCTCTCTATTGTGGACCAATCACAGTACTCCATCCGCTTTGTGGGCCAATCACAGACTGTTTGTCTGATGGGCGGGAGGATGCGACGAGCGGAACAAGTTGGTGACAGCTCGTTTGAAACTGCTTTTACATCAGTTTTGGACTATTTGGACTTGTGCTTAATTAGAATCAGAAACGGATAAATGTCCTTTAATTAGAAAAAGGATGTATATTCACTAACAGTGGACTGCCTTGTTTGTCGACATCCGTTGCAGTGAGTACGTCACATTGTTCGTTGTTCAGTAGCTTGCGGAGATTGTTTGAAAGAAAACGGTAGAACCCATCCCACGACTGAGAACCATCAATGGAGCGTTGCCAGACTAAATAATATATTTATTTAGTCTGGCTTGCCAGGCTAGCTGCATGGCACTGCATTGCGTATAGTACTGGTGGATTCCATTAGGGGGCACAGTAGAGAACTCAGACTGGAAAAAGAGTCTGGTTTGTGGGTTACAGCCTAAAGAAACATCAGTAGAAGAGAACAATAACTGGTTAATTTTGAGATCACGGCAGAAAAAAAGACAGCAGCTGTACCCTAGATAGTAGGGCTGGGCAATAAATCAAAAATGTATTGTTATTGAAATTTCTGACTCTTATCGTGATAATTTTTCCCATTTTAATAAATTTGATAAATAAAAAAATGAAAAAATGTGTGTAGGTTTGCAGCGTTCATGTCCCTTTAAGAAGCTGTACCACCTTGTGTCACGTAAAAATGTGATTTAACATAATTCTTGTGACAGCCCCATCTAGTGGACAACTTTTGTGTCTGCACATACCTGTAGTTACCGTTCATTTATTGTTATCGAGGTGAAATCCTCAATATATCGTGATATTAATTTTAGGCCATATCGCCCAGCCCTAGTAGATAGTAGGGTTGGGCGATGGGATTTTTTGACCATAGGCAATGAGTTGAGCCGTTAGGATTGTTTTAACAAGAGCAGAAGAGCACAATGTCGAGTGGAAAGTGGAAACCCGTCTATCTTTCAGAGTCTGGAAGACTTCTGGTTATTTCATTTGGAGAAATGTTTCCTGATTGTAAAGCTTTGGCTTAAGTAGCGCACCTGCTTCAAGTGTGTCAGCGTTGTGCAGATATATCCAGAACAACATTTTAACCGCCACGAGTCAATCTGAGGCAAAGGTCCAGAACCTAATAACCTCTTCAGCAAGCTCCCTAGAGACGTTTGATTACGCACAAGCTGCAGGTGAGCAACCCAGGTTTACGCGGAGCAGAAGGATCGTGGGGTGGGGCCGCAGCAGGTGAAACGTTCCTAATTTAAGTGAAATCGTTTAATTGCAGTGTTTATATGGGGCACTCTGATCAGCTTGTTTGGACTAAATATTAATTTTAAAAGAATAGAAATTGAATGATTATTTATTATTTTAAAAACAAAATTGACGGGGATAAATAGATCAACTGACCTCTGGCTGAAAGCAAATGCTCCCTCCTCAGAGTGCGTCCAAATGCTGCAGCGATTTATTTCATTGATTTCAAATACCACAATAGTGGGCACTGCAGGCAAACGAAGACGAGGCTTCTTTTTAACAATTTGACCGTGTTTAATACGAGCCGTTTATACGTCACTCTACCTAACAAAAAATACAAAATTAAACTAAATTAGACAAACTTTCTCTTCCAGCAAACATTTGAGCTGCGCTTCTGTAAAAACACCAGTCTTCGTACTTCTACTGTGTTCGCAAATCAGTCTGTGCATCATGACGTTGCTCAAAGAGTCACGTGCACGAATAAATACCCCATCGACATTTATTGGACTGACGATTGGCGGTGGGAAAAATGTAACAAATTGCTCAAGCCTATATGGCAAGAAAGACTAATCCAGAGACGGAGTCGCCATGGGGAGTGTGTCTCGCTTGTTTTGTCAACTCCACCTACTGGTTACTCGTATATTGCAGCGTTTGGACGCGTTGCGTTGATTTTGAAAGACGCGCACAAACATGCATACGCGTTGTTAAACAGCAAGTATATTCCGGCCTTATGACCTTGATAAATATTTGCTACTTTATCATGTGCTGTTGATCACATAAACCTAAAAATGAAGAAAAAATGACTTTTTCTCTCATGACATTGAATTTAATGGCTTCTTTAGTTAGATATTTTCTTGAATCCCACTTGATTTGATCATATTTGCCACCTATCTAAAAGTAGCATTTTTATCAATTCAATTCAATTCAATTCAATTCAAATATACTTTAGTAATCCCAGAAGGAAATTGATTGTCAGCTGCACCTTTAAAAAAATCTAATCCCTTTCAAACTCTGACGTTTACCTCATGTTTGACATGAAGCCATCCAGGGTTTATATTTTCTTTTCTGATTCGGAGTGAGTGGTCGTTGGATCTCAGTTGCCACAGTTACAAGTCCAAAATGACGAGGTGAGTCTTTGGCCTTTGTAGCTGACCGTCATTATCAGGTGACCTTACAAGCCTGAATGTTACTCTTGTAATCACCTTCCTCATGTGACACATTAACTTGTTTTACACCTGCTCACCGACTGTGGCTTGTGACATGAGCTCTCCTCGTAAAGATTTATGCTGGCCTTTGCCTGGGTAAATAACCCAAGCAATAAAAATCACATGAAAAAATGTTCTACTTGGTTTTGGAGAAAATAATATCTCCCGTCTGCAGTTTAGGTCCATCATCCTCTCTGCGCACTAAGAATACTCCTGGGTCTATGTATAGAAAGGATAACCCACGTAATGTGTTCCGTCCGTGTAGAGATCAGTTATCCCAGCTGTGCATGTGCTGTTGCCCATCCGGGCTTTGCTGATCCCCTGAACAGAAAGTCCATCTTGTCATAGATGCGAGATGACCTTAATATGAACGCGGTCCTGGCGGAGTTGAAGCATCTAATAGCACGACCTGTGGAATTCCCAGGGATTACCAACATAATCGGGAATTGAGTGTTTCATTTTCTGATCTTTTATGACCGGAAGCTTAATCCAAGTGGATCTGGAAGATCCCTGATGGAAGGTGGTTTTATACTGTACTCAGTTTATGGGTCTGTTTATGTTGTGGTTGCGTTATCCCTGCGTATGACAAAAAGTGAGAATCTGGTTCTTGTAGGGCTGAGCAGTATGGCAACAATTTCACAACACAGTTTATTAAAAGAAGATACAAGTTTTATGTTATTGATGGTATTTTTTCATGCAAGACCATTCTTACCAACATTACCATCTTTCTCTACAGTAATTATATAAACCATGTCCTTGATGTTGAATGGCATTGTGTTCATTATCTTCGAATCACCACTTGCTTTTTCTGTCATGTGTAGTTGCTTTGGCAAACCTGTCTTGAACAGGTTAGCTGACAGACGTCGGTCTTGAATGGACGTCAGTCGGCTGAGGTGGTGAAGAAAGTTGCTATTACCGTCGCCGGCTGCCACTTCTGCTCAATGCCATTTGCAAAAGATAGATGTTTGGTCTGCACCCGAAGAACTTCCAAACCATAGACGTAGCTTTTCTTTTTGCAGTTAGTTCCTCTGAGTCAATGTTTGACTGCTCTCTTGGTTCAAATCTTTTTGTTTTATACGCTGTGGTGTTTGTGTCCAACAGTGAAATTGGTCCCTGCTGAAACACTTTCCCACTGCGCACATTCCAGACGATGTCTGGGCTATTTATTGGTTTAGCATTGCATAAAAAATTCATATCATAATAAAAATAAACACTGGTTGTTG